GTATAAGTCATTTCAGTGAAACGTGTTTATTCGAATATACTATATAGCATTATTAGTCAGTGTTACAGAGCCCTCTTTATCAAAATATTGACATCCGCCTAAAACTTCGGAAATAGCTTCATCTCATCGTAAACTACAACTATTTCATTTACAAAAACTCTTGGAATCGGGCTGTTTTCAATCTGGAGACCTAAAAACTTTGTATATTTAATTAGGCACTAAAATCCGTAAATACCCATTTGCTTTCCACTTGGACCGTAACATGGTTCGATTACAAAATCGATAAAAAAAGGTGGCCTAAAAAATTATTGGGCCGTTTATCCTTTATAACCTCGTTATTTGGATATTTTTGGGGGTGTAGGTAACGCCAAAGAGCGCAATATTTTTGAAAGCCATATTTTTTCTCGATTTTGTTTTCTAATTACCTTACGATTGAAGTGGAAAGCAAATAGAGTATTTACGAGTTTTCAGTACTTAATTAAATAGACAAAGTTTGCCGATTTCTAGATTGAAAACGCCCCAATTCAGTTGTATGGGTTACGATGAAATGAAGCTATTTAAGAATTTTCAGGCGGATGTTAATAATTTGATAAAAACGGGTTTGCAGCACGGACTATATCAGCATAGTATTTTTTCTCCCATTTCTTGACTTGCTCGACTTGTTTTTTTGCTGTAGTAGAGCCTTGGTTGATTTGCTGTCCTTTTGTTTACTGAGAGTATAAAAGTATTACAGTTAGAATCGAAACTAGGCTTTATTATTTATTTAAAATATTATTTCTTTTTATGTTATTCAAGATGCCCAATGAATAATGAGGGCTATTGTTATTTTGATCCATTTATCTTTTCAATTGACTTTTAGTTCGTCTAAGACTATCATAAATAACTATATTTTAATTTTTATGAACTTAACGTAGTCCAGTAAAATTGTCATGAAAACGGAGGAGAGGGGGAAGGGATGCTCTGATTGTAACTTACATCAAGTGGTGGTAGAAGGTTTCATTTTTTTTTTTTTATATGGCTAGATTGGTAAGTTGCTTAGATTCCTCAACTTTGGGGGCGGGCTGTCAGAACAAGTGCGGAGAGCACCGCGCGTTGTTCGGCAACCTGATAAGTTATACGGAATGAAATAACTACGAGTTTATGTCCCGGTGCCAGTGAGGATTTTATTAACTCTGTCATTAATCCCCCGCCCTCATCCCCTGACCCGATAAAACCCCGTATAGCCTAAGAGGCGAGGAAGGGAAGAACAAAAAAAAAAAAAAAAATAGATTCCTTAACTTTTTACATTTTTTATCTTTATCTTTCACCTCCATACGAACTATATAGTATTCATCTATCACATTTATTGCCTTTGTCTACCACTGGTAAAAAAAAGTATTCTTTGGTATTTCTACTGTAGGAATCAAGGAAGGACTCAAATCCTTAAGCTGAGGGTATCGATAGGAGCAGATATCGGATCTAGAAGTTGAGGCCCAGTTTTTCCAACTGGCAATGAGATGGGCTTATCTCAACTCTACAGGCCAGATACTTTTAATTGTTTTCAAGTTGGGACTTTGTTCGTTAGGTTTTCCTTTACACACTGCTACTTCGATGTCCATCAATCCGGATGGGGTTTTTTCTGCAGCTGTAAACTTGGAAGAGCTATGTGGTACTATTGCCTTAAAGTTTTAAACATTTTACAATTTTACGGCTTTATAATAAACAGCTAGAGAATTTGTTATGCTTTAAAGTGAACTATCTAATAATGCATGGCTTTTTAATATGTTATATATAAGGTCCAAAAATAATTCACTGATCAATGATAAATCGGTAAAACTTAACTCATTAATAAGGTTTGTTGTTCGTTTAGTGAATGTTGATATCTATCAGTAAAAAATAATGTCAAATAAAGCTTTTTTTTTCTTATGACTCTTGACTTTTTTGACTATCGCTATAAGTCTTCTAGCAGCTATGGGGCTTTTATAGGCGACAGTTGTGATAGTTTAGTTCTCTTGACGATATCCAGAAAGCACGTGATTTACAATAACCGGACGCGATCACATTCACTCTCTCTTCATCAGACACTTTTGTGAAATATGGTTGCCAATCATTTGCAGCAATCTCCATAATGTCTTTTTATGGAGTAGGGAATGATTATCCCTATGCCCAACCCCCGAAAAAATGGTCTGAGAACGCTCTACAAGTATTTTATAGCAATAGTATTATCATCATCAAAGAATCAATTTTGTTTTTACCAAACCACTTTTTTCTAAGAATTAAAAAAATTATCAGAATAAGCACAGACTTCGAGGAGGGGAAGAGAGGTACTTTGGGAGAGGGGGAAAGCGATCGCTCACTCAATAAAATAAAGAAGGGGCGACAATATCATTTCGCCTCCCCAATATTTCGAAGAACAAAATTAAAATCAAAATCAATAACACGAATAAATAAAATAGGTCAATCAATTAAGAAAATATGTTCCTATAATTGAAATTTTGTACAAAGATAATTGATGATATTCCAGGATTTTATGGTTCATTGATGTGGATGTTCTACCGTTCTATTCTTAGCTTAAGACTTTAACATTTTTCATCGGAGAATCGAGAGTTCAACTCACTGCCTCAAACCTTTAAATAAAAATAGAAATATGAAATATATACAATTGCTTCGTAAACATTTTTTAAATATATCCTCATACGGAAAAAATAAAGTAAAAAAAGTATTATATAAACATATATATAAATTTATTTTTATATAGTATTATATTGTTTTACAATATTTATGTAGAATATGTTAATTAACACTCATATTTTTTATACATATTATAAACTCCCGAGATTTTTTTTTTTTTTTTGGGTCCATCTCCAGAAAGAAATTCTGCGCCTATGTTCATCTATTTTTATTTTCTATTAATAAAATGAAATCCAAATGATTATGGATTGTAGGACTATACGCTATTAAACCTCATTTTCCATTGTTAAGTTTACTGAAATGAAATTACGAGTTTTTAATTTCCTGACATGGATAGAAGTTGTGACACTGATTGATTGCAAGTGGATACTGTTGGGATTTTACAAAGAGAAAATTCATCAAATTATTCACTAATTTATTTTTTAAAAATCTTACCTGATGATTTTTTGGAATAAATAGCCAATAGATAGCTAATTATTTAAATATACCATATCTAGAGTTATTAAACTACAATAAATTTTTGTAAGGTTATAAACATATCCATGAAATATTTTTATATTTCACTTCTTCTTTCACACAAGTACAATGAAATAGTATTTTAAACAATGGCATTGACCATATAATAAAATAGTAATTTCAGTGGATTTTAAATACTTTTTTCAAACAGAAAAAAATTTAGTTAATTTCCTTAGAAACGTGTGATTTACGTTAAATAATGTTATTTTTCTGAAACTATTATTTATATTTTTTCGTCACTCTCCGTTACTTTCTACAACTTTATTTATTTGATATTATTTTTTCTAAAGTTCTCCGTTTTCCAAAGATATTTTTCTTTTTTCTCTAGTTTCAAATTATCATCTTCTTTCAAACTTCATATTTAGCCATTTTTTGTAGTTACTGTCAGTAAAAGAGAGTTATTTTTTTAAATAAACCATACTAAAGGTACTTTAGAGGAAGACGAATATGAACATTGAGGGTTTATGCCCTGTAAAGTGACATCAATGGAGATAAAACCTTGATACACCGAGTTAAATCAAAATCGTTAGAGCCGTCTTCGAGAAAATTGTAAAAATGTGTTTCACCGTTGACACAAAGTGGAAATTCCAGTTAGCCGATTTTATGGGAAAAATTGCTGTCACATCCAAGTCATATACCTATTTTAAATACGTAATACGACTTTCCGTTTTTGAGCTAGACTACCATTTTGCGGGACTTGGTTATTTGGAGTCAGGGTTCCTCAAAACGTGTATTTCCGTTGAAAACTCAGATTGAAAGTTTATAAGATCGTAATACTTTTCTTTATTATATATTGCATATATAGGCAAGTGAAAGTAAAAAATGTAAAGTAGAGATAAGATTTCAGATATTTATTTATTATATTTTATAAAATATTTGTTTTTTTAATAATCTATATATCTTAACCTAATATTTTATTAATTGAAATAAAGTTTTATATTAACTAACTTTAGTAGTATTATTTTATTGATCTGCTGTTTTATACCCATAACATCTAAGCAATCAACCAACCTTTCATTATGTGCTTTAATATTTTTTATTTGTCACACTGATTCCAGACGGATTTTGTGTATGATGGGCGATCGTACACCAAACATTAAACTTCGACACATCTAAAAATTTGATCTAATATCTCCATCTAGGTGTTTGAATGATGAAGCCTATCTTCATATATGGAGGATATATTGTTATGGTCTAGGGATGGATGACAGCAAAAGGAATAGGTTATGTGCATATTACTAAAATTAAGGAACAATGAATGTCCCATCAAGGGATATTTAAAAAAAAATATATATATATATATATATATATATATTACCATGATATTCTTCGAAGACTATTCTCAAAGCTCATAAAAAATATAAAATAAAAAAATCATCATTGCAAAAGATAAACTTTCATTGATTTAAAAATTTCTGCAAGTAGAATTGGATCCTGAGATAAGTTTTGCGAATATGGATAAGTTTGAATTGCGAATGGAGCATTAATGGTTGAAAACAATAATGAAATAAAAACAAACATAATCATTAATTTTTTTTTTTAAATCATAAGTCATACACGTGCCAAAAGAAAATTCTAAAGTTAGACTTCAGTCTATATCTTAACACATCTATTGTTAAGATGTGTTGTATTATTAAGATTATTTTTATAAAATAAAATATATAATTTCACGAGTAATTAACATAGAGAGATATTGAGATACATATAATTATGCCTTTCAATTGGCAATGAAGCAGAACACTCCACATTTACATAAATTTCCCTCCCCCCTCCCCCATCCTGGTTAGTAGATGCTAGGTTGAGAGTGGGGTGACTCACAAAGACGCTATAACTAATCCAATCCACTCTCCAGAGATCTGTATAATCCATTGATATATGATCCTGGATATCTCGGTGTCCGTCTCAGTGGCTGGTCTAATGGTGCCTTTAGGGTCATTTGCTGCGCTACTAATGAACTGTTGAGGGGTGCATTGTCTATTTGGGTGCCGCTTGGAGCTGTCAAATGGCAAACGTTTAGGAGTCCTGCAGATTAACAGTAGTGGGTTTGGAGCTTCTGGTTCCAAAAGGTTTATCTCACTCTCAAACTAATTTTAAAAATTATATTAGGATTCAGTTTTTATTTATTTCAAAACACCATAATATGTTTATAGTCACTAACTATTCATAAAATTATTTTATCGCCTTGTTTCTAAACATGACAAAATACATTTTTGTAAATATTATAAATCAACACATTATAAATTTTTTCTACTATAAACTTGCAATATCATTTGTTTATAACGACTAAATAAAAACAACAACATGTTTTTATGGATCCTACCAACTTAGTTGTAATTTCTCCAAAAGTATCCAAGAAAGCCCATATTTGTTTTTGTTTAGTTGTTGTAGGCACAAGCAAAGGATATATTGTGTACAAAAAATGTATGAATAATTAATGACTAGAACAATACTATACTGTTTTGTAAGAAATAAAAACTATATCCCTAAATCTTTTTATTAAAAAATACTTTGAGGGAAATAAATCTTTCGGAGACAGAAGCTCCAAACCCCCTCCTGTTAATTCTCAGGGCTCTTGAACGTTTGCCGTTTGACAGCTCCAAGCGGAACCCAAATAGACCATGCAGAATATAGATTTCGGAGAGGTTCTCATGCACAGGGGATATTATAAAAGCTATTCCCAAGTTCCTAACGTATTAAATGTTGTGTTATTTTCTTAAAGACAAATATTTCTTAAAATTCTTGTTTATTCTCACATTCTTTAAAAATTGTGTTGGTATATTTATGTTATGTTGCTCTGATTCAACCTCTTACCAAAATATTACCTCTTCCGTGTTTGAAGACTGCCTATATTCTCTATGGGTGAATTCTTTGATATGAGCCATTTGGATCATTTAATAATACGAAAACTAGTTATAGAGAACTCTATTTTAATTAATAAAATATTGGACTAAAATATTTAAGTTATCAGTGAAATGGGCACTAACTAGATCTAAAAGATAGGAGTATTGAAATGTTTTAGAGGAAAATCCTCCATATAATTGCTGCAGCTATCTGGGATCAGAATACTAACGCATGATGGGAAGTAATAAAGAATCACTAACAGATACTGGCCAATCAATGTTTTCTGTCAAAGGCAAGAGGATTAAGATTGGCGAAACATGTAGCTTGGAGCAGTCCATCAGGAGTCTCTATGAATGCCTCAATATTCGACAAGAGACAGTGTAGAAAGCTAAAACCCAGTTGGATAGATCAAATCATTAAAGAGCTGCTACAGGTAGATGGAAAATTTTTTTTTCAATTTACAATTGTAAAAAGAGATATTACTTTGTTGGGAATAAAATTATATTCCCCAAAGGCTTTCGTAAATAATAGCGATCCCATAGTTAACGGTTTTAATTACATAAAGGAAGTTAGTCGACTGTTCTACATATCATGGGTGATAAATATTCAGGACGCAGTCTTTTTTAAACTTTTTATTTTTGCCAACGTTTCAACCCAAACATGTGGCTCATCTTCAGGGCGTGGATTGAGCACTGAGGTTGTTCATGTACTCGGTTGTTCAGTACATGAACAACCTCAGTGCTCAAACCACGCCCTGAAGATGACCCACATGTTTGGGTTGAAACGTTATCAAAAGTAAAAATTTTAAAAATGACTGCGTTCTGAATATTTATCACCCATGGTTTTAATTACAACTTTAATGCGAAAGGAAAAATTAATACAACCTTATCTTTTGAAAGTTTTTAATGGGATGTAAGAATGGATTTTGTGGAATATCATCGTACTACTTTAAGACAAATAAAAAAAATCTTTATATTGTATTAAGGACTAGATGTACAATGAACTGCTCAATTTTCTTTGAAAGTTCTTCTTAGGCATGCTTTTCAATATCTGCTATTGTGAAATAAATTATTCAGGTTGAATAATATACATAATATTTATATATTTATAAATAAATAATCGTAAGATCTTTACAAAATTTCTAAATCGCATAATAAATGCGTTCAATAAATACAATATATTTCGCTTTAAGATTTTATTGAGTAAGTTTCTCGATTAGGATCGGGCCTCAGCAGAGAATTGACTGATGAAATCTTGACACAACTCGGGATCATCATAAAAAATTTTAACGATCCTTTTTATTGAGCCGTCAAGACTACCGCACCTTTGTGCTAAGGTAGACTCGACTCTTTCGCAGATAAAAGAGAACTAATCGATTGTACTCGCTTTATTACCAAAGCCGCCTTTGCTTGGGGAATATCCACTAAAAAAAGAGGATAAACAACAGAGAACGAGGTTGCCGCCAAAAAAGGGCCGAGTCAGGTTTTTGCGTAGTGCTTTCGATCCCAACTGGTTCTCGATTCCTCTACTAATGTTCAACTAGTACGCTAACATCCCAGCTCACTTGATGAAGGAATTCGATGCCTACTCCATTCGAACATGGCGGCGAAGAGGTAATACGCTAATGGAATTAAGTAAAAATCGCCGATACTTTAAAATAATTTATTATATATAAGCCCAAATAGTTTCGAAAAACACACGAGGTCTCACCCAATAATTTAAGCCATCACACTTAAAAACCTGTCCAGTCGTTTGCTTGAAAAATCGTTAAATACTTTTGGTGCGCATTAGCAATAACCCTCGACTATACAGAGTTTATCATTCTTTATTGGCCAAACTCTGAAGGGTAAATCTAGACAAAATTGCCAACAAAATAAAAATCATTTGATGCATAGGACAATTCTCAACGGAAAAGCAGTTAAGACCAATTTTGTGCTTTTCTTAAGATCGTCACGGTTTTTATTGAAACAGAAGGAATCGTTCAAAAAATGTTAAAAATAAATAAATTCTACCGATAATCTAAGTAAAACAACGATTACATTTATTAAGATCAGTGATAAAAGGTACTTAAAATTTACTAAGCTCAATGATGGACGGAACTTACCGCCGCTATACTGCTGCAGTTACAGTATTCATACACGAGCAGTATATTTCTGTACAGCGGCCATATTGAAAGTCTCTTTTATCACCGACCTCACTTAATTTATTCATTGTTTTCTCAATAAAATATTGTCTACTTTACGATGGTGTACTCAGAATATATTTATCTTGAACAGTTTTCAAACAATTCCTTCTTATTTAATATAAACCGTGAATACTTTAAGAAAAACATAAAATTGGTCTTAACGTCTTTTCCGTTTGAAATTGGTCCATGCATCAAGTTAATTATTTTTTTTGAAAATTTTGTCTAGAATCACCCCCTTCCTCCTCCCCCCCCCCAAAGTTGATCATTGAGAACTGAGACATCATAACGTGCCTCGGCTCTTAATGTTATTATGTCATATTAGATATAGAGATATCTAAAATTGTTAGATTTAATATCAACAAGAAAGTTTGATTGAATTTGGTGATTCCACGACCGTAGCCTTCACATGTAAGCATGAGCAAACGCATTCTTCAAACTTTTGACCCAAATTTGGAGAGAAGTGGAGCACTATTGTAAAAATATATCAATTTAGTGTTATAAATTGTCTATATTTGGGTACTGCTACATCCATAATAAGAAATGATATATCAATTTTATAAATTTCCACACTTACTTTAGCTCACGCATGCGAAACGTATTTTCTTTTACAAGTTTGTTTCTAATGTTGGCTAGTGTCAATTTCAAGCAAATCTTTGACTTTAAAATATAGGTAATTACGTACAATTCTTTACTTTTGTTAATTTTATATTTTCTGTATATATGGTCTGAATGTGTTATATCATATATCACTATAATTATTGTCCACAGATTGTTATATTTCTAAATAAAAAAAATTAAAAAAATACGTACAATTTAGAAATGGTGAGGGTTTTTCATTGGACCATACTTTCTAACGACCTTTGTTCCTTCACTATAAAATATTGTTTAGGTGTAATTGGAGGTATGTAATGGGTAGTTGAATTTGCAAATAAAAAAATAGTTTAAATAATAAATCTTCAAAGATATGGAGATTTTGACTAACGATAAAGGAAATATATATTAAGCTGATGTTAGGCCTCTTTTGCTTGGGAAAGTAGCTGAACTAAATAGTTTGATACGGTGTTTGTTTGACTTTTCCCTAAGGTTTCTTCATACACTATATTTATTACTATGGATTTATTTGAACAAATTTACTATGGTTTTGTTATTCTCCTCTGTTTTAGCCACTTTTCGAACTTTTAATTTTTTTCGCAAATAAATTTGGATCTATTTAGCTTTTATCTAAAGGGTTGAAGTCCCCTCAAAAATAAATATTTCTGGATTATTTTTAAAATTAACATTTCTGCCAAACTCAGCCATTTACAGTTAAAATGTATTCTTTATTTATAATAATATTATTTTAACATTGTAGTTTATTAGTCATATTTAGGAATTAATCTATATAAATAAAATAAAGGTTTTGTCTGTACATTGAATTGAACCAACCCGTTTCATGATATCTCTCCGTTTCATACATTGCAAACACCAAATCCACTTTAAAACATTTTTTTGTCTGTCCGTATGTCATTGCAACGAAATTTTGTCAGGGGCAAGCTCAGAAATGACTTATTGTAGAATTTTGAAATTTCGGCATTATATTAATGTTTACTTGACTTAAAACATAGGTTTTAAATGAAAACAAAATATTGAATAGAATCAGAGTTATCGAATTCTTGAGTAATTTGTCTAGAGATCCCGATTTGGCAGTTACTTCGATTCTCATCCCAACCTATTCTACCGCGAGCCATATTTAACAGTTGTACTATTCAACTGATGGAAAAAATTATCACAACTCAACGGGTAAAATTCGAAATACCAAACATCTGTAACACGTTGTCGCTTAAAACACACTCATTTTTCAACTTTGCCCGATCTTCCCGTTCAAGGTGTCATTCTATTCAACTTCCCGAGCCTAACAAATGTTGTCGTAAACATTTTTAGGATTAACCAAACGGATTAGTCGGAAATCGGAAGAAAAACTTGTAAAAATTGAAATTACCTCTCTCTCCTCACCAAATGTTATGAAATTAGCACTCCTCCCCCCCATAATACAATATCCAGCTCAAAAAAAGAAATTTAACTACACACCCGTCAACGATGGGTACATCAGCTAGTAAATAATAAATCACAGTTACATTTTTTTATAAACAAATTAAAATAGCTATTATAGAAATAGCTTCTAGATATTTCTGGACATGTGGTGAAAGTGGTGTTAAGTAAAAGTTAAAGGTGTCTTGGAGGTCAATAAAATTGTCAAAAACTACTACATCTGTTTGCTTTGTCCAGAAGAAATATGGCCCTTGTACTCAACCAATCCTTTTCTGCCGTTTCAGTTTCTTTCATGTTAGCTATTAGTATTTGAAACATATTTGACACCTCTTATACTGAAAGAGAAATTTTCTCTTTTGGAGTCATTTGAAAGAACGGTCGAAAAACATAACCTTATGTGCTCTCGTTCATTGTGATTCGTTGCTTATGAGGCCCTACTGAAAGATCAGTATGATGAATATGACCATTGAGAGTGGTACCATCTTCCGTCGATGCTGAATACGGCTCCAGAACCGAACCCCATTGTCCGCGACTTCCCGTTAGTTCAGGGTTAGCGCCGCTCTTGGAGTATCTGTGACCAATGTTCTTGTCGTCCTCTCGGCAAGTCTGTGCGATATCATTGTTGAAAATATATGGCTCTAATGAGACTTTTTTTTTTTTTTTGTCTGAAGTTAACATTTACATACTTGTATGTAAAATAAATTTTATAATTGTTATTTTCTACACAGTTCCTGATATTATTAACAGATGTAATAACAATTTTCGATATATACCTAATTTTGGGAATTTTCGTGAAAAAAACATTTATTCTAGATTCTTAAAAGAAAT